CATGTGAGTGTTTAGTGGGGCGTGCGTTCGTGGGGGGGGGCGGGGGGGGGGTGCGAGGAGGGGGTAGCGCCGGCGGAGTTGCTCCGCTGCGGTGACACTACAGCGTCTTCACCCGTTCTACAGAGGGAAGTATTTCCCAAGCTAACACCCCAAGTTAACTCCTCTACTTCCCTCTATCCTACGATCCTCCTCTCAAGGAGACTAATTGACCTGGCCCAGCTTCGGCACAGGTCTCGACCACCAGCCACACGAATCCGGCCATGAAAAGGACATCGGCCTTCGCGGCTCTGGGGTTGTACCACTGGCTTGCTCTGCCAGACACACAGAACCCACACAGTGTACACACAGTTTGTACACACACACACACAGTCCACACACAGTGTATACACAGTTTGTACACACACACAGAACGCACACAAAGTGTATACACAGTTTGTACACACAGTACACACAGTGCATACACAGTTTGTAAACACAGTACACACAGTGTATACACAGTTTGTACACACACACAGTGTATACACAATTTGTACACACACAGTGTATACACAGTTTGTACACACACACACACACAGTGTATACACAGTTTCTACACACACACAGTGTATACACAGTTTGTACATACAATACACACAGTGTATACACAGCCAAATCACGATCGCAAAGCAATACTGCTGAAAGCGATCAGATTGTTAAAACAATTAAAATTCCATATATCTCAGGAGTAACTGACAAATTAGCCCGTGTTTTGCAAAAGCAAAACATTGCAGTAAGATTTGATACAGTACACAAAATTAAAAAAAGTAGTATCTTGCACTAAAGACGCATTTCTTAAATTATCAACAGAAGGTGTACATTGGATTAATTGTTTATGTCGGAGATGCTATATTGGACAGACGGGACGTAATATCAGCATAAGACTAAAAGAACATCAAAGAAATTAAATGATTTCAAACACAACTGTCGGCAGTGGCAGAACATGCTTGTCAACAAGGACACTCAATTGATTTTGATAACGTTGAAGTGTTGTGTAAAACTAATTATTACTGGCAAAGACTAATCAGAGAATCCATTGAAATTGAGAGGAATAGAAATAACTTTAATCGCTCTGACAGTTCCAGGCTTAGTGCGGCTTGGAAGCGTATTATTAATTAATACATATTACAATTCCTTATAGGGGAAACGCATACTAATTAATGGATTACTAACATAAACACAATAAAACATTACAACTAATTACCAATCTACAATTCATTACTAATCATAACCATTGACTGATTACCAATCGATTATATAATTACAATACCCCCCCCCCCCCGCCGCCAATCACTGCACCTGAAATGAGTTCAATGATGACGTCACCCTGCTGCTCTATTTAAGACCGGGAGCAAGCGAGGGCTTTACCATTCTGGCGAATTGCCCGATGATGCTGGATGTAATTACCAGCGAAACGTCGTACTCAAACTGTAAATGTTGTGGATTCACTCTTCAACACACCGGTGGGCTAAAGTAGTGAACTATTTGTCTTTTGTCAACCTGACACTTTTTTTGCTGATTGGCCGTGATGGGGGGTGGAGGGTTACGACACATTTATAAATAACGCGATCTAACCCAAAAACCTTTATTATGAATAATATTGGTCGCGAAAGCTTGCGTGTTAAACAAATAAATGAAACTGAAAAACTGAAGCTGAAACACAGTACACAGTGTATACACACACACAGTGTATACACAGTTTGTACACACACAATAATGTTCACGTTGTTGTTGAGCTCACGCACCCAAGGGGCAAGGTACACATTTCTCCAAATTCTTAACAAACATGCTCCGTTGGTTAGATTTAAAACTAAAGCAACCGCCCACCATGGTTTGAAGCTTTTATTACAAAGCTCATGAAAACTAGGGACAAGGCTTGGACATGTGCTCAGAAAAGTAATTTGCTCAATGACTGGCTAGAATACAGGATTTTAAGGAATAGATGCGTCAAAAAAATCAGGCATGCAAAACATGCCTACTTTTCCTCCACTCTCCTGGAATCACATGAAAATGCCAGGATTTTCTGGAAAACAATCAAATGTATCAAAAAGGCATCCAAAACAGATAATCTGCCCTTTGAGCTTAACCAAAATGGAGAATATTTTTCAGATCCCCAAAAAATAGTTGACAATTTTAACCTTCATTTTTCTGAAGCTGGTAATCTTTTTGATAATGTATTGGGAGTCACCCCTGCTCATGCAAATTCCTACACCCCTGTCCAAACATTAAACGAATTGAGTTTCCAGCCAATCCACGAAAGTAATGTTCTGAAACAACTGTCCTACCTCAAAGGGTCCTCCTCTACCGGAGCAGATAGTGTTCCCGTCTTTGCTCTACTAACTGTTGGTCACCTAATATACAAACCTATAGCCCACATTTTCAACCTGTCCATCAAAGAAGCATCAGTTCCTCTAGAATGGAAACATTCCTATGTCCGTCCACTTCACAAAGGGGGGCCTAAAGATGATCCAGACAACTACTGACCTATCTCAATTTTGTCCCCGTTGATGAAAATTTATGAAAAATTATTGAACTACCAAATTAGCAGTTTCCTGTCCACCAACAATCTACTACATCTAAAACAATCTGGGTTCCGGAAAAAATACAGCACCACATCTGCTGCATTAGACACTCTGAATCACATTTACAGTAGCCTTGATAATAAGCAGTACTGTGCCTGTCTTTTTCTTGACCTGTCAGCTTTTGATATAGTAGAACACAACACCCTGCTTAGTAAACCAAGTTGCCTTGTTTTTTCCGAAAACGCAGTAAAATGGTTAAAAAATTACCTCTTTTCTCGCACCCAAACTGTATTCACAGATGGTTGGAGGTCAAACAGTGTTAAGATAACAAGAGGGGTTCCACAGGGTTCCATCCTCGGCCCCCTCTTGTTTTCTCTATATGTCAATGACTTGGGCACTGACCTGGATCATTCCAGGGTAAATCTTTTTGCAGATGACACGATACTGATTACTGCTGGCCGCTCTCCGGATGACGTGATTGCTAAGCTCCAGGGTGATTTCAACAAACTACAACATCAGCTAGTTGCTCTTAAACTAATCCTGAATATCTCCAAAACCAAGGTGCTATGCTTCTCACCAGGACTAAAGCAGGAAGTTATTTTTACCCAATTACATTCCTTAAATAATTATCAAATAGAGCAAATCAAGATCTATAAGTATCCTGGGGTCATCCTGGATTCAAAACTGAATTTTGAAGATCACATTGATTATATTGGTAAAAAGACAAATAGGAAAATTGGTTTGCTGTATCGACACAAGCACTGCTTCCCCCTATGTTCCGTTTGGAATTGATAAAAGCTACCATACTGCCTCTACTTGATTACTGTGACATCGTGTATAAATCAGCTCCAAGTACTGAACTGAAGAAGCTTGATTCCATCTATCACTCGGCCTTAAGATTTGCATTGAACTGCCCATATAAGACTCACCACTTTGATCTCTACATTGAGTCAAACTTAACATTTCTTAATGTTCGACGGCTTGTGCACCAGATCTTATTCATTCACGATGTACTTACAAAATAATCCGCAAACTACCTGCTGGATCTCCTCTCTGTTTCAAATAAAAAAATTGACCTCAGGTCTTCGCTCATTTACAAGCTTCACATTCCCTATTGCCGTACAAAAACTGGAGGAAGGGCCTTTGCTAGAGATGCCCCCAGGGTCTGGAATGCTATTGCCAAAAACTGCAACTTGAATCATTACCAATGAGATCTTCACTCAAAACTGCTCTAGAGGAGTTGTACACCCCTAGCTGCCACTGATATTCAGTGGCCTAAAATAAAATAAAATGTTTCGCTCCGGATGACCACTGGAAAGTATTATCTGTATTTTGATATAGCGTGCTGATTTTAAAGGTGCATTGAAAAATTTGATACTCCGACTGATGCTCCTGTTTCATGAGACCTCCATTGCCAGTAACAAGATATAGTAATAGGTTTTACCCTTTTACCTGACACAAAAACTGACACCTTTATTTCAGGCATCATGTTTGCAATAACCACAACACAAGCAGTCTAAATGCAAACAAAAGAGACAACTCTGATAATAATATGCACTGTCCTTGAATTTGATTGGTCCACACCCGAGACGGCTTTTCTTAGAGCCTAGTTTGTGCCAGTTAAAAGGGTAAAACCTATTACTATATCTTGTTCCTGCAAAGGAGGTCTCATAATGTAAATGCTCACCCCGAGCCCTCAATACTCTGATAGTGCTCTGTTTTTGAGTTGTACGCCTTTTGGTGTCATCTGGTCCAACACCAGTGGAGACTAGGCTCTAAGAAAAGCCGTCTCGGGTGTGGACCAATCAAATTCAAGGACAGTGCCAATATTATCAGAGTTGTCTCTTTTGTTTGCATTTTGACTGCTTGTGTTGTGGTTTTTGCAAACATGATGCCTTGAATAAAGGTGTCAGTTTTTGTGCCAGTTAAAAGGGTAAAACCTATTACTATTTAATGCTCCTGTTGTTGTGGAGTGACTCATGCAGCCAGCTATGGCTCTCGGGTTTGGTGTTACATGTTATTTATGTAGTTTATTGTGAAAATTTGGTCACAGTTCCTATGATCACTGTTACATTGCTTTTATGGCTTTATTTTGGTGGTGTCGAAAACGTTTTTTGGTTTGGCCATGTTTGTTTGTTGTAGTACGGAGTTAGACTGATGGCCTTAATCTAAGTTTTCTTGTGGTTGTCGTTGTTGTTTGACTTGCATCCCACTGGGATTTTTTGCACACAGCGTTGGTGTACGGTGCTTTTTCAGGAATATTTTGCTGTTTTTTTCCTGTATTATCTTTTTGCACAGTCACAAAGTCACTTTAAGATGTTTTCTTGTTCATGTTTTTTTGTTTGTTGCGGTTGCACCCGATTCAAGAGCCGAATGGCTCACAGGGCTATACCAAATAAATGAAACTGAAAGAGAGGAAGCAATGGAATACAATCTAAATAAACTTAAACTCAAACCCCGCTCTCTGACGTCACAACTCCGCATTACCTCATCGGCGTGAGACGCGAGGGGGAGGTGTAACCCGCTAGTGACGTCATGTCACCAAGGTATTCACCCAACCCCCCTCTACCGCGAGTTCTCTCACTGATGGGCCTAAGTTCATTAACATAATTTATTAAGTTGCACCGCCGCATATTGGGTATGGGAGTTGTTGTAACCCTCTAGTGACGTCATGTCACCTCCTGCTGCCGCGTGACGTCACGAGACACCAGGAAGCTGCCGATCGGCGCTCCTGCGCTCACTGAGATTTGAGGTGAGAAGTTCACATCGTGGTGGTGGTGGTGGTTGTTGTTGTGGTGGTTGTTGTTGTTGTTGTTTACCCAGGTAGAGCCTCGCTCCTCTCTCTCTCGTAGTGATATCAATTGAGTAGCAGCGAGTAATGGAATCGACGTCCAGGTCGGAACATTACAACGCGGGGCCTAGCCATGCGGAGCCTCGCCTCCTGCCCCTCGCCTTGATTGCGTTTGCTTTAATTCTCTCGCTTTAAGTTTAATTTGTCTTCACCTGGCTCGCTGCTTTGAAACTTTGTTTTTTCTTTGAAATATTCCTACAGTTTTCTTTGTTTTGTTATCTTTAGTTATCTTTACCAAGGTCAAAGCCCGCTTCAGCTGCTGTAACGCTCTTGTTTTCAGAAGCGACCTTCACACAACAGAGTGGTTTATCAACGTGTTGAAATGCCCGTCGGTCAAATACTCTAAAACGCGTGGTGATGTTCACTCTGAATGTGCAGGGGGAAAGAAAAACAACCCCTGGAGGATCCTGAGGGAAAATCCACGCGACCACGAGGAGAGAGACACGCGAACTCCAAATATACATCCTTAATACAGGTTTGTTTGGGTTAGATCGCGTCAATGTGTGTGTGTAGTTAAACCCCTCCACCACTCGACACAGCCAACTAGTAGGGGTTGTCACGTTATCTACCGACTATAGGAGTAACTACTGACTCTAAATAGTAACTACTAACTCTAAATAGTATCTACTGACTATAGTAGTATCTACTGACTGTAGTAGTATTTACTGACCATAGTATCTACTGACAGGAGTATCTACTAACTCTACAGTAGTATCTACTGACTCTATAGTAGTAACTACTGACTAAACAGTATCTACTGACTCTATAGTAGTATCTACTGACTATAGTAGTAACTACTGACTCTAAATAGTATCTACTGACTCTATAGTAGTATCTACTGACTGTAGTAGTATTTACTGACCATAGTAGTATCTAATGACAGTAGTATCTACTTACTATACAGGAGTATCTACTGACTCTATAGTAGTATCTACTGACTGTAGTAGTAGTATTTACTGACCATAGTGTCTAATTACAGTAGTATCTACTTACTATACAGGAGTATCTACTGACTCTACAGTAGTATCTACTGACTAGTAGTATTTACTGTCAGTAGTGTCTACTTTCTCTATAGTAGTATCTACTTACTCTATAGTAGTATCTACTGATCATATTAGTATCTATGGACTCTATAGTAGTATCAACTGACTGTAGTATCTACTGACCACAGTATCTACTGACAGTAGTGTCTACTTTCTCTATAGTAGTATCTACTGATCATAGTAGTATCTGCTGATCATAGTAGTATCTGCTGATCACAGTAGTATCTATGGACTGTATAGTAGTATCAACTGACTGTATTATCTACTGACAGTATCTACTGACAGTAGTATCTACTGACAGTAGTGTCTACTTTCTCTATAGTAGTATCTACTTACTCTATAGTAGTATCTACTGATCATAGTAGTATCTACTGATCATATTAGTATCTATGGACTCTATAGTAGTATCAACTGACTGTAGTATCTACTGACAGTAGTATCTACTGACAGTAGTATCTACTTACTCTATAGTAGTATCTACTTACTCTATAGTAGTATCTACTGGCCATAGTAGTATCTACTGATCACAGTAGTATCTATGGACTGTATAGTAGTATCAACTGACTGTCGCAGTATTTGCTGGCTAGTGGTATCTACTGACTAGTATCTACTGATTCTACAGTAGTATCTGCCGACTATAGTGGGAACGAGTAACTCGAAAGTAGTATCTGCTTACTCTTTAAAAGTAGCTTCTACTGACTGCAGTGATATCTACCAACTCTACAGTAGTAACTACCGACTTTATAGTCGTAACTACTGACTATAATAGTATATAGTGACTCTACAGTAGTTTCTACTGACTGCAGTAGTGTCTACCAACTCTTTAATATATATCAAGGCCGTAATTATAATATATATTGGGGGGGTTAAAATATGCTCAAAATGTCCCCCCCCCCAATATATTGCTATAAAAATATTAAAAAAAATTAGTAATAATTGCCATGCTATGTAAATAAAAAGAAGAATTTGCTAAACCTTGGCCACAATATCTGGACTTGTCTTCATATAAATCAATGCATAGATTTCTGTTTATATGATTGTGGTTATGGTTGTACTTTATTAATCCCTAATCTCAGAAATTACATACAATGAAACAAGAAATGGTAAAAAAGTAAAAACAGAGCAATGTAATACAATACACTATTTTACATGATTATAAAAAAAAAAGTCTGTCTCATGTTTTAGTGAATTTTTAAATATTTTTGGCAGGAAATTAGTTTTCAAATTTAGATATTTTTCTGGGTTGGGACCCCCAGACCCCCTGGAATATTTGGTCCCCCCCAATGTTGACTCCATGGCTACAGCCTTGGTATATATCGACTCTATAGCAGTAGCTACTAACTCTATAGTAGGAAATACTGACTTTAGTAATAACTACTAACTCTATAGTAGTATATACTGACTCGATAGCACTATCTACTATCACTACAGTAGTATGTACTGGCTGTAGTAGTAGCTACTATCACTACAGTAGTATGTACTGGCTATAGTAGTAGTTACTATCACTACAGTAGTATGTACTGGCTATAGTAGTAGTTACTATCACTACAGTAGTATGTACTGGCTATAGTAGTAGCTACTATCACTACAGTAGTATGTACTGGCTGTAGTAGTAGCTACTATCACTACAGTAGTATGTACTGGCTGTAGTAGTAGCTACTATCACTACAGTAGTATGTATTGGCTGTAGTAGCTACTATCACTACAGTAGTATGTACTGGCTATAGTAGTAGCTATCATTACAGTAGTATGAACTGGTTATAGTAGTAGCTATCACTACAGTAGTATGTACTGGCTTTAGTAGTAGCTACTATCACTACAGTGGTATGTACTGGCTATAGTAGTATCTACTATCACTACAGTGGTATTTATTGGCTATAGTAGTAGCTACTATCCCTACAGTAGTATGTACTGGCTTTAGTAGTAGCTACTATGACTACAGTGGTATGTACTGGCTGTAGGAGTAGCAACTATCACTACAGTAGTATGTATTGGCTGTAGTAGTAGCTACTATCACTCCAGTAGTATGTATTGGCTGTAGTAGTAGCTACTATCACTCCAGTAGTATGTACTGGCTGTAGTAGTAGCTACTATCACTACAGTAGTATGTACTGGCTGTAGTAGTAGCAACTATCACTACAGTAGTATGTATTGGCTGTAGTAGTAGCTACTATCACTCCAGTAGTATGTACTGGCTGTAGTAGTAGTTACTATCACTACAGTAGTATGTACTGGCTGTAGTAGTAGCTACTATCACTACAGTGGTATGTACTAGCTGTAGTAGTAGCTACTATCACTACAGTGGTATGTACTAGCTGTAGTAGTAGCTACTATCACTACAGTAGTATGTACTGACTGTAGTAGTACCTACTATCACTACAGTAGTATGTATTGGCTGTAGTAGTAGCTATACTAACTTTAGCAATACGTACTGGCTGTAGTATTAGCTATATTTAACTCTATAACAGTGTGTACTGGCTGTTGTAGTAACTATACTATCTGTAAATCAGTGTGTACTGGCTGTAATAGTAGCTATACAAACTCTATAGCAATGAGTACTGGCCGTAGTAGTAGCTATACTAACTCTATAGCAGTGTGTACTGGTCACAGTAGTAGCTATACTAACTCTATAGCAGTGTGTACTGGTCACAGTAGTAGCTATACTAACTCTATAGCAGTGTGTACTGTATGTAATAGCTATACTAACTCTATAGCAGTGTGTGCTGGCTGTAGTAGTAGCTATACTAACTCTATAGCAGTGTGTACTGTATGTAATAGCTATACTAACTCTATAGCAGTGTGTGCTGGCTGTAGTAGTAGCTATACTAACTCTATAGCAGTGTGTACTGGCTGTAGTAGTAGCTATACTGACTCTATAATTATAATCTCTGGTTCTTTGGTTGAGTCATGTAGATAGACAAATAGTAATACAAATAAAGTTACTAATAAAGTGAATAAAAAATAAAAATAACCATCGATGTAAGCTGTAGCCTGGTTGTTAAGTTTTGTGAATGTACTGGCAGTCTATAATGCAGACTGAAGAAATGGTTATTAATAACCAAGAATAAGTCTATAGACTGCCATTACACTCGCCCAGCTTACTAACCATTGCTACAGTCTACATTATAGACTGCGCGTAAACTCACTAAACTTAATAAGAAACCTACAGTCTACATTATAGACTGCCAGTTCACTCACCGAGGTTAAGAACCAGGCTATAGTCTACATTATAGACTGCCAGTGCACTCAACCAACTTAATAACCATTGCCATAGTCGCATCTTGATTTGAAGCTTTCGTGACTGCAGGAATGCATACTCTTTGGTTCTTTCGGTGAATTCACGTAGGTAGAAAAAATAATAGATCACAACGTTTCGATCGCAACTCAAGCAACCGTCATCAGGTGTGAAACAAAACACAGCAGAAGGATTGCTGACGTAGGAGAAAGAGCTGCTGCAACAAGAGTTGCAGCAGCTCTTTGGAGGTTCAATCAAAACAATAGCTTATTTGAGTATCCTCTGGAACTTTTTGTAAGAATGTAAACATATTCTTAGCTCTTTCGGTAAAGTCACCACGTTGAGGGGAAACAATAAAATAATCAAATATATATATAAAACAATAAAAAAAATTCTCACGACGTTTCGACCATAACACAAACTGTCGTCATCAGGTGTGTCGGTTTGGTCGAAACGTCGTGAGAATTTTTATTGTTTTATATATATTTTATTGTTTCCCTTCAACGTGACTTTACCGAAAGAGCTAAGAATGAATTACTGCAGTCACGAAAGATTTAAATCAGAATGTAAACAGTCAGGAAATTGACACAGCATATATGCTGCTGAAGTTAGATCTGTTCATCCAAGCATTCAAGCAAATCTGAGCCTGGCTTCACACCTCTAAATTGCGATTGAATATTAATTTATGCATTTCTGCATAATACAAATCGTATTATTATCAACAGCCGTTGCTATGTTAGCTGAATTTTGCTTTTATAAATATTGCTATTGTTGCCAGGCAGCCGAAATTGTGTGCTTGATGTTTTGGGTTAATATTTATTTTGAAGATACTAGGGCCTCCGGGCATATTTATAACCATTTGCCCTCTCATTGTGTGCCTTAACAGCCCATAAGATGGATTGGGGAATATCTTGAGTATATGAATAAATATAGACGTGTAAGTCACCTGTGATTGTGTATATGCATTCCTCTGTGCCTCGATATTGACGTAGATGGTGTGGATATTTTTTTCTGTCTGCAGCTGAAACATTCTTCTGACGCTTCATCGGCAGAATTGGTCTGATGGAGCAAAGGCACTCGGCGCAGCCCGGTTCAACAAGACAACAATGGGACCAGGATACAAACAGCATGGATTGTACTGGAAGTGTGACATGGCACCAGAGAACTCAAAGAGGAGATGAACCCTTCAAGTGCACTGTGTGTGAGAAGGCATTTTCAGATTCATCTGTTTTTAAAAAACACCAGAGAACGCACACGGGAGTGAAACCTTTCAAGTGCACTGTCTGTGAGAAGGCATTTGCAGAGTTATCAAATCTTAAAACACACCATAGAACACACACAGGAGAGAAATATTTCAAGTGCACTGTGTGCGAGAAGGCATTTGCACAATTATCAAATCTTCAGAGGCACCACAGAACGCACACAGGAGAGAAACCCTTCAAGTGCAGTGTGTGTGGGAAGGCATTTTCAAATTCATCTGGTCTTAAGAACCACCAGAGAACACACACGGAAGGGAAACATTACAAGTGCAGTTTGTGCGAGACGACATTTTCAAGTTCATTTTGTTTTAAAATGCACCAGAGAACACACAAAGGAGAGAAACCCTTCAGGTGCACTCTGTGCGGGAAGCCCTTTGCATATTCATCACAGCTTAAAAAACACCAGAGAACGCACACAGGAGAGAAACCCTTCAAGTGCACTCTGTGCGGGAAGCCCTTTGCAGATTCATCACTTCTTAAAAAACACCAGAGAACGCACACAGGAGAGAAACCCTTCAAGTGCACTGTCTGTGAGAAGGCATTTGCATGGTCATCAGATCTTCAGATCCACCAGAGAACACACACGGGAGAGAAACCCTTCAAGTGCACTTTCTGTGAGAAGGCATTTGCATGGTCATCAGCTCTTCAGATCCACCAGAGAACACACACAGGAGAGAAACCCTTCAGGTGCACTCTGTGTGGGAAGCCCTTTGTAGATTCATCACATCTTAAAAAACACCAGAGAACACACACAGGAGATAAACCCTTCAGGTGCACTGTCTGTGAGAAGGCATTTGCATGGTCATCAGATCTTCAGATCCACCAGAGAACACACACAGGAGAGAATCCCTTCAAGTGCAGTGTGTGTGGGAAGGCATTTTCAGATTCATCAAATCTTAAAATACACCAGGGAACACACAGGCATCAGAAGATCCCCAAGGAGTGTAGTCTGAAAGCGACTTGTGAAAGTCAAAGTGCTGCAATAAGCCCATCCCTCCTGAAAATAGAACCAGAAGAGAATCCCAGCTTGGACACTATGAAATGTTTCAAGGTGAAATGTGAAGAGGTGACAGTGAAGAGCGAAGAAGTGAAGGTGAAATGTGAAGATGAAGATTCAACTCCAAAATGGGACCTTAACATCGATGGAGGCAACGTGAAGCAGGAGGAGAATTCTGACTGTGAGGCAGAGCGAGGCAACTCCCAGCAGTTTGTGAAAGTGGAGGTGTGGGTGGACTTCTTAGACAATACAAAGTCAAATGGAGACCCTGTAGATATGTAAGATTGAGACAATGAAGCCCGAATAGATTCACCTTTGTCACAGGCCTTTAATATAAATAACTCCATTCCTAGGTTCAACCTGCACAGCAAGAGCGGTCAGTATTTGTGGACCTGTGGGTTGGGTAGATCTCTAACTAGGGGATCTGAATTCTGAGACCTGATAGAATTACACTAAAACATAACCATTTTATTTTCACAATTGGTAATATACCCCTAGATAACGAAGCCCAGCCTAATTTAAATTAGCATAATTTAATCAAATGTCATTTTTTTCAGCTGCCCCTGTGTGGCATAAGGTGGTCCTGCACCAGTCTGCATGTGGGCATGAGTCTGTTAGTAGGGCGCAATGATTGATGTATGATCTCAATTGTGTCATTTGTGGGTAATGTTTCGAATTTGCCAAATTTTAACCACAACGCCAGCATGCAATCGCATGCACATTTTGAATGACAATAGTTTGTTTTAGAATCAGATGTTAAGAAGTACGGTGCATATTTGTAATTAATGTTCCTGGACTAATCAGGGATGCCTGTCGGATTTGAACCTTGAACCTCTACCCCTCAATCTGACTACTGTAGGTGTAGGCCTCATCCGACAGAGATCAACTTGTAAATACGATATAACACGATGAAATACATTTCAGTGCAGTAATTAAATTTTGTAAATATGCCTATCGATAATTTAATGAATACTTATTCTTGGTTCTTTCGGTAAAGTCACGTAGAAGGGAAACAATAAAATAATAAAAATATATATAAAACTAAAAATTCTCACGACGTTTCGACCATAACACAAACACCTGATGACCGTTTATGTTATGGTCGAAACGTCGTGAGAATTTTAATTTTTTATATATATTTTATTGTTTCCCTTCAACGTGACTTTACTGAAAGAGCTAAGATTATAATGAATACTTGTCTGATTTTGTGCGTACATGTAACATTTTGTCTATAAGGTCAAATATAGAACACGTGATTGTAGGAGAAAGTGTGTGTTTTGGAAGTAACCTATACAGATGTAGTGGAGTAGGAAGGTATGCTGGGGAAACTGCGCGATTGTATTGATCACACGGACAGTGTGGGGTTATTTGGGGGTTAGCCTATGGAAGGCGTAAACAGCGTGGGTCGCCTTAGGACAGGCACGTGCAGAAGCTGAAAGGTGACGTCATCGGTTGGGCCAGTTAAGGTAGACGAGAAGCAACGGCAGTGATTGGCTGGGACTTGTTGGGGAGTCGGAGCTGAAGAGAATTGGGAGTGGGAGCTGAGGAGAGTTGGGGTCCGGAGTTGGAAGCCAGGACAGTGTGTAGAGTTAGCGGAGCTGAAGAAGGCGGAACAGTTAGCAGTGGAGTGAGCGTAGAGTTAGCGGAGCTGAAGAAGACGGAACAGTTAGCAGTGGAGTGAGCGTAGAGTTAGCGGAGCTGAAGAAGGCGGAGCAGTTAGCAGTGGAGTGAGCGTAGAGTTAGCGGAGCTGAAGAAGAAGCAGCAGTTAGCAGTGGAGTGAGCGTAGAGTTAGCGGAGCTGAAGAAGGCGGAACAGTTAGCAGTGGAGTGAGCGTAGAGTTAGCGGAGCTGAAGAAGACGGAACAGTTAGCAGTGGAGTGAGCGTGGAGTTAGCGGAGCTGAAGAAGACGGAACAGTTAGCAGTGGAGTGAGCGTAGAGTTAGCAGAGCTGAAGACGACGGAACAGTTAGCAGTGGTGTGAGCGTAGAGTTAGCGGAGCTGAAGAAGGCGGAGCAGTTAGCAGTGGAGTGAGCGTAGAGTTAGCGGAGCTGAAGAAGGCGGAGCAGTTAGCAGTGGAGTGAGCGTAGAGTTAGCGGAGCTGAAGAAGACGGAACAGTTAGCAGTGGAGTGAGCGTAGAGTTAGCGGAGCTGAAGAAGACGGAACAGTTAGCAGTGGAGTGAGCGTAGAGTTAGCGGAGCTGAAGAAGACGGAACAGTTAGCAGTGGAGTGAGCGTAGAGTTAGCGGAGCTGAAGAAGGCGGAGCAGTTAGCAGTGGAGAGAGCGTAGAGTTAGCGGAGCTGAAGAAGGCGGAACAGTTAGCAGTGGAGAGAGCGTGGAGTTAGCGGAGCTGAAGAAGACGGAACAGTTAGCAGTGGAGTGAGCGTAGAGTTAGCGGAGCTCAAGAAGGCGGAGCAGTTAGCAGTGGAGTGAGCGTAGAGTTAGCGGAGCTGAAGAAGACGAAGCAGTTAGCAGTGGAGAGAGCGTAGAGTTAGCGGAGCTGAAGAAGGCGGAGCAGTTAGCAGTGGAGTGAGCGTAGAGTTAGCGGAGCTGAAGAAGACGAAGCAGTTAGCAGTGGAGTGAGCGTAGAGTTAGCGGAGCTGAAGAAGACGGAACAGTTAGCAGTGGAGAGAGCGTAGCGTTAGCGAAGCTGAAGAAGACGGAACAGTTAGCAGTGGAGTGAGCGTAGAGTTAGCGGAGCTGAAGAAGACGGAACAGTTAGCAGTGGAGAGAGCGTAGAGTTAGCGGAGCTGAAGAAGCCGGAGCAGTTAGCAGTGGAGTGAGCGTGGAGTTAGCGGAGCTGAAGAAGCCGAAGCAGTTAGCAGTGGAGTGAGCGTAGAGTTAGCGGAGCTGAAGAAGACGGAACAGTTAGCAGTGGAGTGAGCGTAGAGTTAGCGGAGCTGAAGACGACGAAGCAGTTAGCAGTGGAGTGAGCGTATAGTTAGCGGAGCTGAAGAAGACGGAGCAGTTAGCAGTGGAGTGAGTGTAGAGTTAGCGGAGCTGAAGAAGATGAAGCAGTTAGCAGTGGAGTGAGCGTAGAGTTAGCGGAGCTGAAGAAGATGAAGCAGTTAGCAGTGGAGTGAGTGTGGAGTTAGCGGAGCTGAAGAAGGCGGAACAGTTAGCAGTGGAGTGAGCGTAGAGTTAGCGGAGCTGAAGAAGACGGAACAGTTAGCAGTGGAGTGAGCGTAGAGTTAGCGGAGCTGAAGAAGGCGGAACAGTTAGCAGTGGAGTGAGCGTAGCGTTAGCGGAGCTGAAGAAGGCGGAGCAGTTAGCAGTGGAGAGAGCGTAGAGTTAGCGGAGCTGAAGAAGACGGAACAGTTAGCAGTGGAGTGAGCGTAGAGTTAGCGGAGCTGAAGAAGACTTAGCAGTGGAGTGAGCGTAGAGTTAGCGGAGCTGAAGAAGACGGAGCAGTTAGCAGTGGAGTGAGCGTAGAGTTAGCGGAGCTGAAGAAGACGGAACAGTTAGCAGTGGAGTGAGCGTAGAGTTAGCGGAGCTGAAGAAGACGGAACAGTTAGCAGTGGAGTGAGCGTAGAGTTAGCGGAGCTGAAGAAGACGGAACAGTTAGCAGTGGAGTGAGCGTAGAGTTAGCGGAGCTGAAGAAGACGGAACAGTTAGCAGTGGAGAGAGCGTAGAGTTAGCGGAGCTGAAGAAGACGGAACAGTTAGCAGTGGAGTGAGCGTAGAGTTAGCGGAGCTGAAGAAGACGGAACAGTTAGCAGTGGAGTGAGCGTAGAGTTAGCGGAGCTCAAGAAGACGGAACAGTTAGCAGTGGAGTGAGCGTAGAGTTAGCGGAGCTGAAGAAGACGGAACAGTTAGCAGTGGAGTGAGCGTAGAGTTAGCGGAGCTGAAGAAGACGGAACAGTTAGCAGTGGAGTGAGTGTAGAGTTAGCAGAGCTGAAGAAGGCGGAGCAGTTAGCAGTGGAGAGAGCGTAGAGTTAGCGGAGCTGAAGACGTCTTAGCAGTGGAGAGAGCGTAGTAATAGAGGAGCTGGAGACGAGGTGTGTGGAGACAGAGAAGTGAGATTGGCTTTCGCTGCGTGCGACGACGCTGTATTAGCGGAGGAGCTGAGGAGGATAGCCAGCAGTGGAGAGAGCGTAGGAATAGAGGAGTTGAAGACGTGTGTGTGTGTGTGCGGAGCAGAGCGACGTGATACTGGGAACCAAAGGTGGTGAGCGAGACGGGCGAAGCACGGCGAGGCGAGCCGCGGTGTCCGGGATACGGTGGAGTGTGGAGAACGTGTTTTTTATTTATTTTTAATTTTTTTAAATTATATCTTAAAGCTATTTTATATTCGATATTTATTTAATTTTATATACTTCAGCCCCTTGGTGTTAGACTTTTAACCCTCATTATAGTAAGACTTGTTTAAAACTTATTTAAGATTTTAGATT